GTTTGCCACTTGGCATACTCTCATGCATTCTTCTATTTATAATTTTGCTATAAATGAAAACCATATTTGTATTCATTATTTTTAATTTAATTAAATATTTCATTATATTTTTAATTACTCATTATGATCGGATAGGGCAATTTAATAGTCACATTTTTTGAGAGAGATAAAGTTATTCAATTCTTCTTGGGCTTTTGTATTCTACTCCTTGTTGTGTCCATTCAAGTTCAATAGATGCATAACCTACAAAAAGCCAACCGGCACACCTTACTTCTTTTTCCGCACAAAAAGGGATTGGATACCCTTTGGAAGACTGATATCAGATATTCTGACAGAGAATAGGCTGATTGATCATTTGACAGAGGCACAAGAAATCAGCACCCTGGAACCTTCTGTTGGCAAGCAGCTGAATGCCAAAAATCTGAAGAAAATGAAGTTGATAGAGAACATTAAGAAGGAGCCCAGCGTCACTCCTTTTGCTGAAATTTCCAACAGAAGAGTCCCTCTGGACGACTTCCCTCTGTTCTCAGAGATTGGCTCTAAACCAGTTATCGTACTCAGATATCTGGATGCTTGCAAAGCTGATGGTACAACACCAAATCTGAATATTCAAGATCTTCAGAAGAAGGCACCAGAGGTAGTTCTGAAGAGGACAAAGAAGAGGAAAGTTGTGACAGAAGAATCATCTCAGTAGACTCCGAAGAAAAGAGGTAATCTTTCTTCTGTTAGTGTTTTAAATTCTACTGCTGTATCAACATCTATTCCCATTCCAACTCCATCTGAAAACCCAACACCTCAAACTTTCGATGATTTTGAACCTGACTTTGACCCTTTTGAGTCATTAACCCTCAGAAGATCCCGCTCCAAACCACAAAATCCAAATACTGCAACCACACCAGAACAAGAACTTGAAAAAGTTCTTTCTGATATAGACTAACACTTTTCCGCTCCCGAAACAGAAAATCCAAATCCAAACACAGAATCACAACCAGAAATCCAAATCCCTCTCTCACCTCAACTAGAAATTCCACTTTCTCTAATACCAGAAACACCTCCATCTCCACAACCAGAAATTAATCCACCCTCTCCTCAACATGAACAATCTCCACAACCTGAGAGTCAAACCTCTGAGGCTCAATCCTCTGAATCCCCTGAACCACAACCTTTGGCCATTCAATTGCCCTGTGGTACCACCGTGAATATTCCTCAACTTCCCTCTTCACCAGAAATTACTCCACCAAATTCCCCATCTAGTCCAGTCGTAATTCCTGATTCTCCCACTCCCTCACCTAAGAAAAATTCAGATGACCACAACAAGATTGTCATTGATCTAACAGTCTTTGAACGCCTTGCTGCAATAAACAATAAAACTGCTATCCCTAAACCAAAACAACCAGATGTTGGTTCTAGCATATTGAACTTTGAAACAGAACTATAGAAGTGGATCACTTCTTTGAAACAAGCAAGTCTGGAACTGATTGATCCTGCTGTATCAGACCTCCTCTGGACAAAATTCAGAAGATGGGTATGCTCTGAAACCTTTAAGTTGCAAGACCAGAGTTATGGACAGGCTCAACAGAACTTCAGCAATCTGCTGAAAGAGATTGAAGGTCCAGTTCTGAGCCAAGTGCTTAAGGAAGAAGTGCTCACTCTGGACTTAGCTCCCTGGTCTGAACATCGTCCAGCTTCAAAAGTTCAACCTGATACTGAAGAGCAGTTGATTCCAGTTGAAGACCTGATTCAGAAAGAAGATGCTATAGAAAGCTCTGAGAAGCATCCTGGTTCTGAAGATTCTCAAGCTTCATTGGACAGGCATACTCTAGAAGAGCTGAAGAGAAATGATCTTCTAATTAAGGAAAGAATGGATGTACAGGACAGTAAAATTGATGCAATATCCAGCATGGTATCTCAGCAGAAGGAAACCAACGATCAGATCAAGGGCATGCTAGAGGCTCTGTTCACACGTCTTCCACCTCCTTCTTAGAATTTTCTTGATGTTTTCCTTGTTTTCTTTACATGTTTGTCTATAATATTTTACATGTTCTGAACCTTTCATTGTTCTTCTTAATATAATCGTTTTTCTGCTCTGATCATTTTAACTCTGATTATTTGGGCTTTTTGATAACTGACAAAAAGGGGGAGAAAGAATGATATTTTTCAATAACGGATTACTGAGACAAAAGTCTCAAACATTCTAACATTCTGATATATTTGAACTTCCTTCTTCTGAAAAGCTTACAGGTACAGGAATCTGATGAACTCTGATAAAGTAAAGTTCTAATGCTCAAAGAAAGTTCAATAAAGTTCTGATGCTCAAGGTCTCATGGAATTAAAGGGAAGTAATAAACTCAGGGGGAGTATTTCTCTTCGTTACTCTGATACCTTGTATTCCTTATCTTCTTATCTCTAATACCTTTTATTCGTTATTTGTTTATCTCTGATACCTTTTATTCTTTAATTTTAATTGAAAAAATCTGGTTTTTGTCATCATCAAAAAGGGGGAGATTGTTAGAACATAGTTTGATTCTACAACCCTCAGTTAGAGTTTTGATGATAACAAAATACAAGATTAAATAAATTGTAAGATTTATATAAGACATATATGCTACTTAAAATTATGTTGTGTATTTACAGAAACTCTTATGGAATCAGCATCAGAATATCAGTATCAACATCAGCATCAGAAGATATGTCAGCATCAGAAGATCAAATATCATATGCTATACGCTGAAGCTTGATGAACAGAATGTGCGCATAACTTACTCTAACTCTGATCAAGATCCTAACCATGCCATCAGCACTCAGAAGCGTCAGAATAAGCTAAAGCCAAGAACACTTTGATTATCATTAGCAGAACACTCTGAAGTGTCAACGTTACTATGCATTCAAGACAAATTAATTACCAACGGCTTTATTCCAAGACAAAGATCTTCTCAAAAAGGAAAGAACGTTATGAGCATTGAAATGGATTTATGGACAACAACGTATCTCTTCCTAGGCTATTTAAACAAGTCAGTGAGAAAAGAAATGGCTAATACTCTACACGCATATACATGCCTAAGCTAATCATCTTCACGCACGATCTCAATTTTGCTAAAGCTTTCAACCGCTTACTCTATAGCTCTAGTAATCTAGTTTCATCCTAAAGCTTAATATTGTGTATTATCACAATTGTGATATATAGTTTTGCTAGAAAACATCAAACACACTTTTGTTAAATTATCTGTAAGAGAATTACCTTGAGATAAACCGGTCTGTGGTTAGACTCAAGAAGACTTTAGCAGTTATTAAAGCAGTTGTTGTATTCAGTTGAATATAGTGGATTAAGACCTCGTTGGAGAGAGGCGAAATCACCTTGATGGGTGGACTGGAGTAGTTTGAGATCAAACAAATCAGGATAAAAATACAGTGTTGTCTGCATTTGATTTCAAGTTTTACAATTCAACCCCCCTTCTTGTGTTTTTCACTTCTTCATTCATGACATACATATACACATATACATGTCACTTTACACAATCACATAATGATCCAATCATCCAATGCCAACAAACCTAATTCTATCTTAAACGTTGTTGCAGTAGCTTCCTAATACTTTAAACAACTCCTAAAACAGAGTTACAGTTTAAAAGTTATGATCGTTACAAAAATCTGTCAAATTTTTTTAGATGTCCCTCAGGACTACTCAGGTCGACTCATAGGTTGACTCATACTGAGTGTTTTGGACACCTATGCGTTGAATCATAACCTTTATAGGTCGACACATCGCTGTTTGATAGAGAGACTCTACCTCGCGAATGTGCTCAGGTCAATCTCCCCTGTGCGTGAGTCGACGCATACTGCGTTAAAATGATTTTTCTGCATTTTCTAACACAAATCACACACTAAATTTCTTCTTAAAAGCACCATAAATCACCACAAATCATCATGTTTGTCAATTTTAGCAACAACCTATCATTCTAACATGAGAGTACTCTTTCTATTCCATTCAACACATCAATTCTTATCAATTTCATAGATTTCTACATAAACCCTAACATGTAAGATTCTAGAAACTAAAATCAACAACACCTATCATGTTACTACCCATTGCATACATCATATACCCATAATAACATGAATACCCAACCTTACCTCTTAAATTGAATACTCTGGGGCTGCCTCTTCTCCTTTTACTTCTCTTTTCTCCCTTGCCTCTTCTCTTCTCTTGTTTTTTCATAAAATGAATCTCTAACATAGTTTTCCTTACTAACTAGTATCATATAACTAACGGGCTTACTTGTACACACCCTCTTATTACTTCTATTTTTCATTATTAGGCTCAAATAGTTATTTCATTCATTAATACACTTAATAACCCAATTATCACATAGTCACATAATTATATAATTAATTAATCAATTAATTATGTATCATACCACATAATAATTAAATAAATAAATAAATAACTAATAAAAATAGTTAATAAAAATCGGGATGTTACAATATACACATCATTGTTATCCTTCATCAATCATCCTTGGTTTAATTCATGGTTTCTCATCACCACGCAATAGCTTATACCTCTCAACATATGGTGTTTGAGTTCCACGATATACACATCATTGCTATCCTTCGCCAACCATCCTTGGTTTAATTCATGATTTCTCACCACCACGTAATAGCCTATTGGATTAACTTTCCCGTGCTTCAAGTCTCGTATCATTCATCACGGTTCTCGAGTTATGGTGAAAACAAGAACCAAATATTTTTCTCTATGTTGTTTGGCGAGACAAGTCAGAAGGTTCAAAACTGGAAAAATATCATGCTCATCGTCTAGGCTCGCCCGACGAGGCTGACAAAACCAGACTAGTGTAGAAATGTAACAGGAAGGGGAAATGGTCACACATATTATCATATTGCATCCAATAACTCCAATTAACATGATTTAACATAAATAAGCATGCAAAACAACAAGATGATCATATTTAAGCATGAATTTCACACATATAACAAGTTATAGCATGAGAATCAAACAAACATCAAGTAAGACATGGAAGAATGCTCTAAAACCTATACTAGCTAGAACCCACGTTAAGAAGATGATTGATGATGAAAAGGAGTTGATTTTGATTCTTGATCCAAGGTTCTACTTCCACTTCCAAGCTTTTTCCCTCTTTCTCTTCTTACTTCCTCTTTTTCTTTCTATTCCCATTGTTTCTCTCTTTACTATTTCCTCCATTCCAAAATAATTATTGCATTTGATAAAATTACTTATCCCAAAATAATAGTCGTTTTAGTTTTCAATGCAATTCTAATTTTTATCTTTCAACTCTACCCTCTAATAATATTCTTAATTTATTATTCTCTTACTCTGCATTTATGATAATTTGAACACACCAATAATAAACAAAGATAATTTGATAAAAATATTATTCTCTCTTTCATTTATCACATTTTGTATCAATATTGTAATGAAAGATGAAAACTCTCGCAAGTTTGCCACTTGGCATACTCTCATGCATTCTTCTATTTATAATTTTGCTATAAATGAAAATAATATTTGTATTCATTATTTTTAATTTAATTAAATATTTCATTATATTTTTAATTACTCATTATGATCGGATAGGGCAATTTAATAGTCACATTTTTTGAGAGAGATAAAGTTATTCAATTCTTCTCGGGCTTTTGTATTCTACTCCTTGTTGTGTCCATTCAAGTTCAATAGATGCATAACCTACAAAAAGCCAACCGGCACACCTTACTTCTTTTTCCGCGATAAATAAAAAAGTTGATTCCAATCTCGGTTCCTGAAGAAATAAATTATTTCTCTTTTCCAACGTCGGCTACCTTTTATATTCACCCAGATTGCATATTTTTCTTCTGCCGCTTCACATTCCAACCTTGAATTTGTAGCAATTAATCTTCTCTATTTTCCAGAAGCTGAAGCGTTTGAAAAAAGCATCAATGATTTCCAAAAACCCTCGACCTTCATCACCACCTAAGGTTTCCGAAAAATCCTGAACCTTCATCTTCCCCTGTCAGATTACCTGGATTTGAAAATAATTCAGTATCGAGGACTCAAATGGAGAATCAATCAACGAAATTGCAACTCTGGCTGTTAACAATGTCACTGAAATTGTCAAGGAAGATCATTTGGGTGCTAGGAGGGTTTTCAAGTTTCATTCCGTAGAGTCTGCCGAGAAGACAAGAAAAGAAATCGGGGATATAAACACTGAGGAGTTAGAAAAAAAAAGCAACATATTGTTGAAGAAGTTGAAGATAATTCATAGTAGAAAGAGAGTAAGAAGAAGAGAAGTGATGATGGTGACCGAATTGAGAAGAAGCAGCAGAGAGAATTTGTCTCCAGTAAAAGAAAAGCTGAGAAGGTTAGGTTCACACTTTTTTTTTGCAGAGAATAATTTTGATTCACTTTGCTTTGGATTTACTAATTGTTTGATTTGTTGATTTAACAAGAAAGATAGGAGAATCTTAAACAGCTTCGATTGATTTAAGAAGAGAGTGATTTGTTGATTCTAACACCATGGTCGGAATACTATAACCTTTGTTCTACCACACCACCTCATAAATGAGGTTCACATGTTCTTGAAGTTCTTGCTGGGCAGATTGGGCAGCTGAGATTTATATCTCATGGTGTTTCGAAAATTGGTCCTGCAGAGAGGGATGCTGTTATGAGTTATGAAAAGCCAGCTAAACCTATTTTGAAGGTAACCTCTATTCTAACACTATGAAAAGGGATGTGATGATTCAATAGAAGATATGGAGTATGTTCATATGAACATATTCCTCCCTTTGATGTTTCCTATTTAACTTTAATTTTCTTTTGGGTTAGCATAGCTGTGGGTAGGCTTCCGCGTGAAGCTATTTATATATATTTAATCTGAACCCTTCGAAGAGTAATGAATCCTTTGAATAGTAAAGTTAAGGTTGCTACAATTCCAGTGGAAACAAAAGTCTGGCAATATTCTTTTCTTTTCTACTTGATATGAGCTACTCATAACTGACAAAAAAATTAAGCAAGCATCATTTGCATTTTTTAATTTTAATATTAGAAAATTTTTTCTCATGTTTATTTTGTTTACTTTGTTGCATTTTCACTTGAGTAAGTTGTATGTTAATATTTTCTTTTGATTAAGCATGTTGATTGTTTCTGGTAGGGCTTTGTTTTAGACTCGTGACATAACTTCTTAAAAACATAATTATGTTGTAAATCAAGTCGTACCAACAATGCAATACCGTTGTATTGCTATTTACAGGCTGAAGACGGTTTTCAACATTCATATGCCACTTTTATTATTTCTAAATGGGAGTTATATTGATATTTATCTGGCAGCATAGTTGATTTTTACAGGTTGAAGACGGTTTTCAACATAAGCTACTCAAAATAAATTCACATTTGAAAACGATTTTTAACGATTTCTCATAGAGTCCAAGTAGCTTTATGGAGTTAATGCTATACACAAGGCTAGGAAGACTTTAATTATGTCTCTAAATGTGATCTATAGTGAAAGATAAGATATATTATGTTAGATAATTAAAGATAAGATATATTATGTTAGATTTACAAGTACTGTTATTCTATAACTTACTGTTATTTTAAAGTGTGATCTTCATACATGAAATAATTGTTGGTCATTTGGACTAATCAGATGTAAAGTTTAGATTTATTTTGATATGTTCATTTAATCTATAGATGGACTATCAAACACTTCAAGTTACTATTGAAAACTTTTTATGGCCACTAATAAACTCATAAATTGTGATGTGTTCACTTAATTTATGTGATAAAAAATTTATTATCCAAATGCTTATTTTAAGAAGATGAATCTTTCTTTTATAAAAAATTCATATTATATTTTGTTTTTAAAATTTGTAGTTCCATCTCAATCCTACCATCGACAGAAAGTTGGTTTTCATAGTAGATAAAACATGAATCTAAATTATTTCTAAAATAAAAAACAAATATTCAAATATACCATTTCAGGGACTTATATAGTCTTAGACTAACAAATTGTTATTACTTCTATGCATCCTTTATCTCACTTTTTCTCTTATACTTTATGCTTAGTAACATTTTATTATTTTTGAACTTCACTCTCCGCCATTTTTGATAATTTCTCATTTTGGTTGAACTTATCTTTACTTTTAGATGTACGCAAGGAGTAGACCACATTTTACAGGATAAAGAAGATAAGAAAATTGAATGAGATGGTTTCAAATGAAAGCATATGTGACTTATGATGCGAGTTGCAGTTTTAAAGACTTAGAAATCATCTGTATTTATTATGATTTTGAACTTTCTTTTTGCTTGAATTCGTTTCAACCTTTAAACTTTCTTCTTGCTTTTATGTCCAATTCTTTATTATATTTTAATTAACAATTTACAAATCATATTAGTTAAAGAGTCAAACATTTAAATTGCAGATGTCATCATTGCGGTTAATGTCATGAATATTATATAAGAATTGCTTTTTAAAGTTATGATTTTTTATTACATATAAAGAAGATTTGAATTTGGAGTTTTGAAATTTTAGATTTTAATAAAGAAAATCGAAAAAAGGAAAACAAAATTATCTTATGCGGATTACTAATATGGTCGCACATGAGATTTTAAATCACTTAATAATTATGGTCTGATTTAGTTGCAAGGACAACTATAACATTAATACTGTGGTTTCTTATAATATGGGATTAAGCTCCTATGCATTATATTATAATTAACTTTAGTTATTAATTTAATTTTTTATAACAATAATTAACTTAGATCACATACACATATACTTACATCACATATTAAACTTAAATTGTTTTGTTATATTGTTGTAATTTCAATGATTATTTTGTTAATCAATTACTCTCATATATATAAAACGTTAAATTATTATTTTGTTAATAAATATTTTTTTTAAACATATAATTTTTTTAATATATGAATGATATAAAAAAATTTAACATTCGAAATTTTACTCCGTACAACGTAGTAACAATTATTTTGGAATGGGGGGTATAAAGTAAAAGAGTGGTTGGTAAGGATAGGAGAAAATAAAATATCTAAAAATAATATTTTATCTTCTATGATAATTGATTAATTATTAATGTTATCAAAAAATTATTTCTCTAACAAATTAATAAAAGTCAACCTTACTGAATAAGAATTAAGTTCATTCGAGTTCGTTAATTACTCTATGTTGTCTCAATTGATAAGTAATAGAGCATATAGAAGTTCAATTGATCTCAAATGACAAGGTTCAGAGTGTCTAAGAGGGCACGGCGTATTACAAAGGTATTTCACATAATCTTCAAATTATCATTCGTCTTCAATTAAAGCATGGTGAGTTGTATCTTCCCTTTGTTATCAATTGGGAGGTGAACAATACTCGAACTTGACAGCTATATGATTTTCTAGATATTGCAAGAGAGTGTTCAATTTGGATTTCATATCGATGAGAAGTATATCTTCGGAGATCCTAAACTGGAGTGAGGGATTTGCTCCATTGAAATACACAAATACAAGATGAGGATAGAGATTCCTTAGAGTTTTTATAAAGAAAGTGGAATGAGAGACCCTATTTATAGAAATCATAGATCAATAAGAACCTTATAAATCATATCATATAATTAGGACAAAATATGGAGATGTATCTCTGGATGATCTCATTGTAGCGGTAGAAATGTTGAGACTAAGTCATTGGATTGACTTGACCCACACATATCAAATAAAAATCGCCACCCCACTTTATTGTTTTTAGAAAAATGGGAAAAGAGCGAATAACCCAAAAGAGGGGGAGAGAATCTAAGTTCGGGGGTTGGTTATGCAAAGGAAACGTATTAGCATCCTAAACACCTACGGTACTCTGCAGGAACCTCTTTGAAAATTTGTGTATTTTGACTATAAAAATTGTATACAAAAATAGATTGTAGGGATGAGAAAAGAAATATTTTTTACAATTTTTTCACCCACCGGGGTTGCGAACCTTTAGTGCTTACGTACCACCTTCCGTGCAATAGGGGATAAGGGTACTCGTAGTTCACCTTTTAAAATTTTTAAAACACAAGTGTGTTGGTTAATTTTAAGAGACGAGACATCATTGTCTTATCCGAGTGGAAAACATACTTACTACTCACAATTATGAGAAAAGAGAATTTGTGCCATCTCAAAGTGGAGGATATGACTTGGATTTTAAAATCAACAAAGCCTCGCTCAACACCCAAGTGGAAAATATCTCACTTCACTATATATCGTAGAAGTATACTAGCTCGCATCACTACAACGATTGACAAGAGTCTAATCTTTTGAGAAAATTTTAAGGTGATAAGCAAAAGTGGCAAAGATAGTTTGAATGAGATTGATTGACTTTTTTAGTCTTCTCACAAAAATGTCAAAGTATTGTTAAATTTTTTAAAGTTTGATTAAGAAAATATTTTTGAAAATGCATGGATCTAAGTCCAAGTTTATTACGAAAGTGGTTGAAGTTTATAAACAAAGAAGATTTTGAAAAATATGAGAAGGTTTTGGAAAATTAAAGAATGAGAGAAGAGATGAAGAGAGTATCTTATGTACATGAGGATAAAAGATAAGGTAAAGAGGATCTGACTGAATAAGAAACCAGTATTTGATATGATAAAGTCAATACAGTGTTCCAATCTCTTTGAGTTTAAAGCCACAGACAGATAAACAAACTAAGAGTATACGTCAAGTGAAAATAAATCACAAGTCGGCGGTATCAAAGAAACTCAAATGTAAGATAACACTCTAAACATCAGATAAAACACGTGAAAATAAATCATGTACGAAAAAACGTGGATCATGAGAGAAGTCAGATAAAGCACAAGGGTGATGGATAAAGCTCATAGTATCAGATAAGAATCACTGTATCACATGAAATATACATACAAATCCAACGGCACGGGGAAACTTATTTAAATCTTAAGTGTACATTACCGAACTTTGCACTTAGTTAAGTATTTTCTAGAATAGATTCATGTAGGAATCAACTCCAAATGATCAGGAAAAATTATATGCGTCCATACGATTTTTAAAAGTTAACTTGAATTAAAATTCAAAATCGCAACGCAATGGAAAGAATATTTACATAACCTAAATTTATTTACAAGTGAGTTGAATAAAATACAAAATTAAAAGTATTATGTACAATTATATATTTACATTACTAAATATTAAATCGAATAGTAAAATAAGTACAATAAAAATGTAAATGAAGAAAAATTAAAGATGCATTATACAAGAATGAATTCTTAAAATAATTCTCGGAAACCTTCACAATAACAAACACGTTAGTAGCATAAGAGGGATAAAAATGAAATGAAACGAAATTGCAACAATTAAAACATGTATTAGTAATTACAAGGTATAAAATCGAAATGAAACTTGCATGACGCACATGAACAAATGAACGTATCTCAAGCAAAAATCAGCATGACATACATTATTTAAAGAGTATTCCATCAAGTAAACTCAAGAGCAATCACTATTTCAAACCACAACGAAAACAAGAATCAGAAGTTCACATTGCAACATGAGAAATCAAATTTAAAGTAGACTTAAAACCTTCAAATCAAATATGGGCAGCAACTATGCACATTAAACAAAGCTTTAAAAAAATCAATCTCAAACATGTTTAGCGCAAAAGGAAATAGCACGACAATGCCACCCGAATTAACTCTTGAATCGAAATAAATTGTTCAACAAAATTAAAACAAAACTCCTTCCAATTGACATAAGTGTACCCAAAATGACGTTAACATCAAAACTTAATATCAACACAAGTGATATAGTCATTCACGCTTCAAACACCATTAATATATATATAACAGTCCATACTTCAATTGATTTAAAAAAACAAAGAACACTTCATCACACAATAATTTCAACAACATTCATCGCGACGCCAATATTTAGCGTTTACAAATCAGAACGGACTAAACTTAGTGTTTAACTTCAATACAAATTGTACTTGATTCAATAAAGTCTAAAAAAACAAATCGAAAACCTGTTCCAACTCAATCATAAGCTCAAATCAGATTCACTTCTGCATAATAACACCAA